TGTTGTTCCTATGTTCCCTCTAGTTTCTCTGTTTACTTTAGTCATGATTATTCTAGTTTTCTTATTCCCCATTTGATTATTTATCTTTGTCTATAGGTTTGCTTGGTCTGTGTTTCTGATTATCGTTCATTAGTTACTTTGCCCATCCTCAGCCTTTGTATTTGTTTCACCTGTTCCTTCTGCTTCCCTGCCTCCTTGTCGCACCTGTTCCCTGTTCCGTTGATTATCTGCCTTCGTTATCGTCATCGTGACATTATTACAATCACAAGCATTGATGTGGGCTGCACGGTGGTGCAGTTGGTAGCACTGTTGACTTGCAGTAAGAAGGTCCTGGGTTTGATTCCCGGTCTGGGGTCTTTCTGCATGTTTTTTTTTTGCATGTTCTCCCCGTGCCTGCGTGGGTTCTCACCGGGTACTCTGGCTTCCTCCCACAGTCCAAAGACATGCTTGTTAGGTTAATTGGTCACAATTGGTATGAATGAGTGAGTTGTTTGTGTGTTGCCCTGCGATGGACTGGCAACCTGTCCAGGGTGTACCCTGCCTCCTGCCCATAGACTGCTGGAGATAGGCACCAGCTCCCCTGCGACCCACTATGGAATAAGCGGTAGAAAATGAATGAAAAAAAAAAAAAAACATTAATGTGTTTTATTTGGTTTATATGTGCCAGAGCAATACAAAGTAGTGCATTAATGTGAAGTGGAAAGAACTGAAAGTGTGGTTTGATTGATTCAATACTTCAATACTATAAAACCAGCCTTCACTGCTATTACAGCTGCACTTATTTTGGGATATTTCTCTAAAAGCTTTCCAGATGTGAATACAGAATTTCTGAACATTATTTTTGAAGTGTTGCCAGATATTATAAACTGGATTCATGTTTAGACTTCAACTGGCTTGTGTGTTTGGGGTTGTTGACCTGCTGGAAGGTGAACCTCCACTCCAGGCGCTAGTTTTTAGCAACCTTTAACAGGTTTGTTGTATGGACTGCCATTTAATTGGCTCCCTGTTAAAGGAAGCACTCCTACAGCATGCTGCCACCACCATGTTTCTCCATGGGAATGGTGCGTTCAGGATAATGCACAGTCTTAGTTGCCCGTCACATATAGCGTTTTACATGTTGGGCAAAATGTTCATGTTTGGGTCATCTGACCAGAGCATCTTTTTCCAAACTGTAAAATCGACTTCCTGTGGCTTTCTTTCAACAATGGCTTTAATCTTGCTATTCTCCCAAAATGGCCAGATTTGTGGCACGACTAATAGTTGGCAGTTGGTTGCACTGATTTTAATTTAGGGGTATCAGAATAAAGAGAGTGGAGCACAAATTCATGTAATGCTGGGAAATGAAATGATTTGGAAGTGATCTAAGAGTTTATTTCCATTTCAAAATAATGCTATCCTTTGTCTGATTTTGAAAATGCCAGTAAAATACACTAAGGTTTGTGGCTGTAATGTGAGAAAATATAGAACAGTTTAAAGGGGTAGGAATAGTTTTACAAGGCAAGGGGTTATTTGTCCAAATGAATACAATAAAAAACAAAATGAATAAATAACCACACACATCAATCAAACTTTACAGTGCACTTTCATACACTCAGTTGTAATACAAAGAGCTTTAAAAAGGTTAACAGCAAAAGGAAATAAATAGACTTTGTTCATTGCACATTATACTTAAGCTTCATTAAAATTTAGTTCAGGATTTTTTTTTTTTATCCTACAGAATAAGAGAAAATGTGTCAAAACTCTGCTGACATTCACTGTTCAGGGGAGATTATAAACCAATTAACAGCAGTCAAAAAACAGCTGGGCCACCTCAGTCAGTTATGGGTCACATTTGGTGATATTCTGCCAGCACACCGCTGTGTGATTTCTGCTATGAGAGGTTGTGACCTGCTTCCTATGCCGCCGCTCTCCCCAGACCTCCACTGGCAGAGCTGAAACGGCAGAGCCACACTGGTAGGTTGTGTGAGAGGACAAGCGGATTTGGCATGCACATCAGAGCGTGATACCCAAGCATTTTGGTCCTATCACATGCCACACACACCGACTCTCACACACACTAAGAGAGCATTTCTGGTCGTGTAAAATGGATTGTAACACTGGCCACTGTTATGAAATCATGCCAGCAACTCATAGTATTCCTTTACATTCAACTCAACCAAAGGTCTGAGTGTATTTGTGTCGTGTTGTTGTCGAAAGAAGTGGTTTCAAAGCTGCTGTTATCGTTACAGTGTAAAACTTCTGCTTGCTTAAGATGCTTTCCTGGGTACTCTTTGTTCTACTTATGTGGACAGAGCTCAAACACAGCTAAAACAAAATATTAAATGAAAATTAAATTAACTTATTTGCTGATGGATGCATAGATAAACAAGCTCCGGGTAGGTTATTTAACAATATTTTAGTAAACTGGTGGCACACCTGTGGATGTATTTTAAGGCTATACCTCAAACAAACATTTTCCTTGTGTGACATCATAGAAAAAAAAAAATCAGTCAATATATTAGGAAGAGGAATGTGGACCGCCAAAAGTCAGATTTATCCTTGGGTACAATTTACACATACCTGAAGGTACCACATTCTGTCACAGTCTGTTTAAACAATAATATGCAAGAATAAATACCATGGGAATGTCCAGCCATCACTGAGTTTAGGAAGGCGACATCAGAATCACAATCAGAATCAGCTTTATTGCCAAGTTCGTACATACAAACAAGGAGTTTGCCTCCTGTACACTTTGCTCTTTTGTTCTGTTTTTGCATTACAGAATATACAAATTTACAATTTACAATGTACAATATACACATATCTAATAAAAAAGGTGCATTTGCAACATCTGTATGCTGT